TATTTGCGTTGGTCCAGATGTCTTGCGCTTCACGATCTTATTCTGTAGTCTTCCATGTTGCCTCACTTCATATTTTACGTAGTGTTCCCTCCTTTTCACCAATTTTTAAGATTTACGCATAACAAGCAGTAACCAACAAGGACATGTCGACTTTGGATTCTACCGAAGGCAAGAAACTCAGCAAGAAGTAAGTATCGCTTTTGTTTAAGTACTGTAAGTATTAAAATGTTTTCTGGACGGCTTTTTTCGATGGCACGTGAAGCCGCTGCACATGGGATGCGGATAAATTGTTCGCTTTCGAAACGTATCTTAGAAATGAGCAGCCGAAGGTTTGTTGTTCAAGCGTGTCCGAGAGTTCACTTTTCTAACAGAAGTTCTAACACTCTGAATGTGCTTTTAATGATACAACGTATATTATTCTAGTGAACAAAAGCGGCTTTTAAAAGCACAGCAAAAGCAGAAGGATAAAGAAAAGAAAGAGGCGGAACGTGCAGCTGCAGCTGCAGCTGCCCCGAATAAGAAGTCGAAAGATGTTGATCCATCAGATCCACAGGTACCCAAAGCATTGAAAAAGTGGCAGAAAGTTTTAGAAGTTTGTACGTTGCTGTAAAAGAAGGTTATATTAGACGAACTGGAATAAAGGAGTGTTTCTTACAGGAATATTACAATATGCGTACTTCTATGATTGAGGAGAGAAGATCAAAGGGAGAGAATCCCTTCCCTCACAAATTCAACGTTTCCATCTCGTTAGCTGATTTTATTGAAAAGTATAGTCATTTGGAGAAAGACGTTGCTTTGGAGGATACCGTGGTTAGCGTTGCTGGTAATGCTTTTTTCAAAGAGTGTTTTATCTGACGAAAGGACTTCGTATGAATAATTTTTTTTAGGACGTTTGTTCTCAAAACGAGAGGCAGGTGGCAAATTGATCTTTTACGATCTTCATGGCGAAGGTCTTCAGTTACAAGTTTTAGCGAATGCTAGGTAATTTTTTTCAATTTTTCGGAGGACTGATTTGTTCCAGTACAGGAGATGTAAACGTGTCTTCCATCTTTGTTGCTGATTTCGTTAAGCTTGTTCAGGTACCACAAAGGGAAGGATCAATTTGCCGATTTGCATGAAAAAATAAAACGAGGTGATATTGTCGGTGTAATTGGCCATCCGGCACGTTCGAAGTCTGGGGAACTCAGCATAATTCCTAATGACGTAAGCCTAATTTCTTTGCTTAGTAACGAAATTATAATGAGTTTTAGCTAGTGGTTAGAAATCACCTCATCTCTACTTTCAAGGTCGTACAGCTTACTCCTTGTTTATACATGTTGCCGCACACGCATTTTGGGTTAAAGAACCAGGAAACAAGGTGTCTTTTTTAGCTTAACTTTTCCTTTTTTTTTTGTCTCGTGGAAATATTATCGTTTTTTTTTTTTTGTTGAAGAGTATGCCTGTCTTTTTGTTTTTAATTTTATATCTTTTCAAAGTTTCCAGGTACCGGATGCGCTATTTGGATCTTATCATGAACCCGAAGGTAAAAGAGAAGTTTATTGTAAGGGCAAAAATAATATCTTTTTTGAGGCGGTATTTGGATCGTCTTGGTTTTTTGGAAGTAGGTTTTTCACTACTGTTTTCGCTCTTCTTACTGTTAAAAAGTAAACTGGTAGGTCCGTTGTTTGAGTTTTTGAGATTCAGAAACTAAGTGTTGTTTTTTAGCGGTTTTTAGATCAGCAAAGTTATGTCAGCTTTTTAAATGTATAAATATGTTTTCAGGTTGAAACTCCCATGATGAATCAAATCGCTGGTGGCGCCACTGCGAAACCATTTATTACTCATCACAATGAGCTTGATATGGACTTGTTCTTACGAGTTGCTCCAGAATTATATCTGAAAGTATGGTTCTATAATTTCAGTTTTTTATATGGTTTTGTTTATTTTCTTCTGTGTGCTTCTTTTCTTCGTTCCTGTTATGGTATCTTATAGTCCATTAGAGAAAGAAACGTTTTCTTGTTAGTTTATTTGCCTAAAAGTTGCCTGTAATTTTTTCTTATTTTTGCTTGAACAGTTTTTAATTCTTTTAACTTTTGAGGAAAAAGCTATTTTTTGAAGGTTATCTTGGTTTTTATAATTGGCGGGGTCAGGATTGGTTAGTGAATTTCCACATTCCAGATGCTTGTAGTTGGAGGTTTTGATCGTGTTTATGAAATAGGGCGTCTGTTTCGGAATGAGGGTATCGACTTAACGCACAACCCTGAGTTTACCTCTTGCGAATTTTATATGGCATATGCAGATTACGAAGATCTTATGAAAATCACTGAAGACTTAGTTTCAAGTTAGTCTTAGGGTATTTATGAAAAGCCTTTCGATTTTTAAATTTGTTATTTTTGCGGATCCCTGTCAAAGGATTTAAAAACCTCAGTCCTTTTAAGAGACGTCTTGTCTTTGAAAGCCATACGTCCTTTTATTTAGAAATGGTTTATTCTATTCATGGGACGCATAAACTTACTTATCATCCTGATGGTCCTGGTGGTGATACCGTTTATGAGGTAAAATTTGGGTCGTTTTCTAGATCCCCACATTTGTTCCTAACATTCATAATTGTTACTTTTGTCCGCAAATCATTTAGGTCGACTTCACTCCCCCGTTTAGACGTGTAAATATGTATGAGGGACTTCAAAAAGTACTTGGAATAGAATTCCCTCCTCCAGATCAACTTGACACTCCAGGTTAAGAGAAATTTGTAGTTTTC